TTGTCCTGGCGGTGTTTCTTTCATGACTGTTTTCAAAATATTCTCTCTGTCCCTGTTCCTCCATTCCTAAGCCCCTATTTCCAAAAGATAAGAAAAAAATGTCCAATTGTTTTTGTGATTTAGAACCAAGCTAACTATGTTTGTGGGATTCTTATAGAAAGCAAAAATTTTATGTAAGATCAAATAACAGCTTAAATCCCACACAGGATAACTTGAGGTAGTTTTGGTGACTGATTTTACTACCTCAGAATGAATGTCTAGCAAAGTGGTTGGATGAAGGGACTCCATCCACTGAGGGAGAGGGCTTGATGTCTTTATTCTACCTCCTCAAACCAGGAGCACCAGGCTCTTCTTTTAAAAAATGATGATCAAAGAACCGAACCACATATTACACTCTTTTCTTAACACTAGCCATAGAACCATTTTGGTTTAGCCCAATTCATGAAATTCTGGGATCTTTTTGTTGAGTAGCGCTCATGAATAAGCCCACGCTCAAGGCTGTCTCAGTCTACACCTATCTGTACCTTAATTTCTTTAGGACTACAGAGCTGCTTTCATTCTCAGATCTATTTGATCAATGTAAAATAAGGAGAAGGGGAAGCAGAGACATAGGTACAGTGGGAGAGATTGTACTCAGCTGAAAGTTGCTATGCAAAAGAGTTCCATTCTGAACTCAATTTTCCAAAACCCATCCCTTTGGGAGTATTATCTCTAAATTCTCTAACTGCAAAAATAGTTTCTTCTTCTGCCTGCTCTTCAGAGAAGTGGTGATAAGAAAGCTGTAAATGGCCTACTACATTATTTTGGGACATTCTTTATCCCTTGACTTTGGTGCCAAGGGTCCACCAGAACACAGAACTGGAACCATGGACACTGTGTAAAAGACTCATTAAAAGAGAGATAGAAGATGACAAGCAAGATCTTCAGAGTGGCTGAAGGCAAATGCTAGCAACATTTATATGGGAAGTTTAGGCACCACTAGATAAAGGGGAGTGATAGGTTTGAAATTAATTTTGCTTGAGATTTCCAGAGTTCTTTCTTGCAGAGGCCTCTTCTTGGGTCATTTTGACTTTGGATGGCTCTGTGTTCTATCTAGTGGTGAAAGGATCCTTACACACCAGTTCTGTGCATCATGATCCTACTCTGTCCACTGATCCACAGATTTAAGTTAAGTAAGTACTTTTAATTCATCAGACATCTGCTGGGTGTCTAGTATTGTGCTCATTGTTCCTGTTTAAGTGGGCCAGCCCCATCCTCAAAGCTGATATCACTTTTGAGGAGCAAGTTATGTATATCTTCTGAATCTCAGTTTCTATACTTGTAACTCAGAAATACTCACATTATTCTGTCTTTTTTAGTGAAGATTAAATGAAATATATTTGACATTTGCACTTAGTTGATACTCAGTGAGTTCCCTGTCCCTTTTTTCTCTAAATCTGGATTTTCTCATTGTAAAATATAGCTGGTTAATAACAGCTCCTTCACCAGGTGGTTTTAAGAATTAAGTAAGATGATGCATGTTAAAATGTTTTACTACAGGGGTGGAAGTATAGCTCAGTGATAGAGTGCTTGCTTAACATGCTCAAAGCCCCAGAATTGATCCCCAGCACTGCAGAAACAAAGCAAAACAAAGCAAATTTTATCATACTAATGATAGCCATAATTATTACAGTCACTCTCCAAGAGCTAACAGTCATGCTGAAAATCCATGACATAGAACACTTGCAAACAGTACATGATGAAGCACCCCATGGCTTCTTGCCCTCTGTAAGTACTCTGTTACCCCAGTGCCCTCAAAGAGTTTGATCTAACCCATTTTCCATCTTCTGGCCAGAAAACAGACAAACAGAGGAGGATGCCCAGAACCTTTCAGTGATTTAATGGGTTTTGAGTGGTGTCAGATAATCTTTCCTGCCAACTTCAAAGCTATTGTTTGAGTGTTGTTTCCACTATGCCACCTTCCAACCTTGACCCCACGGAGCCCTTCTACAACCCCTCTGTTTTGGCCAGGCTGGGTTGCCCTACTTTTAAACAAGCCTATCTTGTTCTCTTCTACCTCTTCAACCACTTCTTGTCCATGACCCACATTATATTAATGTTCTCTTTGTAATTTTCTAAGTCTTTGTATTCCTCATGACCACCAGGACAGGTTTCTGTACATGCATATGTTCAATAAATATTTATTGAATGAATGGTTACTTTTCTCCTCCATATGATATTCAAAAGACTTAATTAACAGATTAACTGTATGAGAAATGGTTTCAGGAGTCCTACAGAGATAATTACACAAAAGATCCCAGTCCCTAGTAGCTTAACATCTAAAACTATTAAACTGATATAAACACTCATTTGTAATAGCCAATGACTTAGGTTCTTAACCTAGAATCTATTGACAACCCCCTCTTCTAAATGGTATGTTAATGGGCGTATGAAATCTCTGAAATTATATGGAAAATGTTGCATATGTCAACATTCTGGGGATAGAATCCACATTCCACTGTGAGAGCTGGGGCAGAAGTGGTAAGAAGCAGTAGATGCTGGATTTTATTTGGGATTTATTGCATGAGTGAATGAATGCCATGAGAGTAGGGGCAGAAGCAGAGTTAATTCTTGGGTTTTTTATTTGAGCAATTGTCTGGAGATCTTGCCACAGACTGAGAGGGTGATGGGTTGGTGGGAAGCGGGGAGCTGACCCAGGTGGAAGAAAATCCACCCAGGGGGAGGTCAATGGTAGGTAAGCTTAATATGCCTATTGGGCATCTCAACATAGATGTCAGAGAGCAGCTGGATGCATGTGATAGACCTAAGCGGAGAAGTAGTCTGGGGACCCAAATTTGGAAATTGGCAATGCATAGATGTTACTTAAAATCACTGGGATCACTCAGGGCAAGAGAAGACCAAGGAATGAGCCATAAGACTTTCTCAGTGTGAAATTATGGAGAAGGAAGGCTCAGGGAAAGAGGCTGAGATGGAGGAGCCACTGAGTTAGGAGAATAACCATGTGAATGTGGTACCCTGAAGGCAGAAGATGACAGTATTAAGAAGAAAGCAGTAGTTGGCTCTGTGAAATTTAACTCCTAGAAACTGCATTGTTGTGTTGTGCTTGTTTGTCTGTATCATTGACTAAAGTGAACTTGAGTACAGGAGTCATGTCTTACTTGTCTTTGAATCGCTAGGGCATAGCACAAAGCTAGGCACATAAATGGGACTTGGTTATTGTCTAATAAATGCAAAAGAAAGGAAAAGAAAAGAAAAATATCAAAGCAGAATAAAGTACCCCCCAAAATTGAAGCCTCTGTGGCTGAGATCAGCACTGTTCATAGCGCAGGGTAGGAGAGGGTGTGGCATCATATGTTTCCATACAGCAGGAGGCAGCGCAGTTTCATTGCTGTGTCAAAGATCTGGAGCCCTTGGTAGGACACATATCCAACAATGTCATCTGTGCACAAGGGCACTTGGCTGGGGAGTGACTACACTTCCACCTCTACCATCTGCTTAGTGAATTCCCAGCCCACTGGCTCCAGTGTCACTTACCTCTTAATTACCGGCCTTGGCTCCCACCTGGCTTGAGTGACCAGCTTTGCTTACTGGCTCTACTTTGAGCAGTGACCTGACAAAGCCTATCTCTCTTGGCTGAGACTTCCTCTGGTCAACTTCAGCCAACCTTTCCCTCAGGATATCCTGACCTTGTCCATTTAGTAGTGCCAAGCAGCCTGACAGCCTGATGACCCTGGCAGCACCAATCTGATTCTGATGACAGAGGGGGCAATGCCCCACAGGGCAAACTAGATTTAGAGTCTCTAAGAATAGTTGGCACAAGGTAAAATTAATTAAGAGGGCAACTGGGAGATCCCTGGGACCTGTAGCATAATCTACCATTGGTGGACTTTCCAAGTTGGGGTGATAGTAATTACTTGAATTCTTGGATCCTCTGTTCTGACAACCTGGAAGGGAGCCCAGTTTACCTCAGATGATGTCTACTCTTGAACCATTCCCCTTCTAGAGATGTTCAGCTTTTTCTCTTTTTCCAGGGTAAGTTGCCTTGGGTTTACATGTCTTGGCTGTATCACTGCAGAGAGTAGATAAATTTCCCCCAGATAAGTTGACCCAATTAGCCTCCTCTTAATCTTTTTGGCTTTTTCTTAAGCCCTAGTCAATAAAGAAATCTCAAAGTTTCACTATTTCTTCTGAAATGAATTGTTCTTATTCTATAGACATGTTCATCTTTCCCCCTGTGGCAGCTTCCCATGACCCTGGCAGTGATGGAAGTGTGATACTGAGATTTCTGAGTGTCATATTCTCATCAGGAGTTATAACATAGTCTTCAGGTGCATGTGAGAGCCCCTAAGGGCAGATTTCTAAGAGAGTTCTAGGGGTTAGGGACTTTCATTAAGAAACTAACAGGAAAATGCTCATATCTTTCTTATTTCAAAGCATATTTCCATTGTATCTCATTTAGTCTTTATTTCAACAATACTATGGGAAGAGAAGGAAAAGTGGAATAACTCTCTTCCAACCCCCTGAAGATGGTGTAACTGAGAGATAGAAAGGATGAATTATCTATTAGGATTTGGGACCTGAACTTGGGTCTTCAGATTCCCAACATAGGACGAAGTTCTATGAGGCTATGAGGAGTCACATATGATCCCTGTTACACCCATCTGGAATGAAGATGATAGAAAGCTGCTCTCAATGGGGCCTCAACTATATCTCTACCCATCTGATGGGTATCAGGATCTCTAGAGTGGGAAAAGGAGAAGAAAATAAGTATTGTTTTAGAGATATGTTCATTTTACTTTTATCTTTAGAAGATGAATGCTTATAACATAAACTGCCCAACAGAAGTGCTAAAAAATCTTGACTAATGGGGTATGAGTAAAAGATATTTTTTAAAAAGTTATCTTTTTTGACCTCTATTCTAACCAAGGACCCCTGGTTTCTGAGCTGGCACAGTTGCTGCATTCTGTGTTAATCATCATCTCATCACGATCTCATTCCAGAGGAACTGGCCGTCACTGAAGCCCTTGCAATTGACTGTGGTCTCAGATGGGGCAAACTTCTCGTGAACTGGTGAGCTGAGGCTGAACCTCACTAACCAACAGGTCTTGCTAAGCATGTGGTACATGCTGTGCTTGGTTGTTTGGCAACAAAACCCCCCATAGGATGTGCATTTTAGGTAAGAAATCTGTTACTCATCTTTTCATTGCTGTGACAAAATACATAACAACTGAGAGGAGGAGAGGTTTATTTTGGCTCACAGTTTCAGAGGTTTCAGTCCATGGTCAGCTGAATCTAAGGCAGAAACATCACAGTGGAATGGGATGGCAGAGGAAAGCTGCCCACCTCATGGCAGCCAGGAAGCAGAGAGAAAAAGAACAAGCTATAGAGGAAGGGCCTAGGGACTAGATATGGATCCCAAGGTCAGGTCCCCATGATCCACTCCCTTCAGCTAGGATCCAATTCCTGTGTTCATTACCTCTCAATAATGCCATCAAAGTGTGATGTCAAACTATGAAGTTAGAGACCTCATAATCTAATCACTTCCCCCAAAGTCTATCAGCAATCAAGCCTTCGGCACAATGATCCTTTTGGGAGGATATTTTGTATATAATAGAATCAAAATAAAATACTTGAAGATTCATTGAGCAACTTAAACAATTAGGCATGTTCATAAAAAGAGTAACCTTGTACATTATTCAGCATTTGAATATTGAATAATTATGTGTAGTTGAACAGATGGGTAGTGTAATAGTATAACAAGACTGTATTGAAGTAAAAATAATCTCTGAATTTCAGAGGTTTTTTTTTTTTTGTACAGGGGATAGAATTCAGGACCCTATGTTTTTGAGGCAGGCAGCAGAACCACTGAGCTAAATCCCCAGCCCTAATTTCAGAATTTTAATACAACAAACATTCATTTCTTGCTCAGGTAACATATGAAACAAGAATTGTTAGGAGTTGCCTGCTCCTCCCAGTTACTCAGGAATCCATACTGTCAGAAGCTCACCATCATATAACTGAATGTCCTGGAACATGTGACCTTCAAGACTTCCAGAGAAAGGAAGAAAAAGATGAATGAGGACACTGGCTTTCAACCCTCAGTACACAAATAATATGTCACTTCTGATCACAGTCCATTGGTCTAAACAAGTCACATGACTCCAGGGTCCTGTAAGGAAGGTTGGATAATGCAGGACACTTGAAATATTTGAGAAGTATTAACAGTTTCTGCTACAAGTGAGGAGTGAATATAAAGGTAGATATAGTCCCTACCCTCAATTTCTGTTCAAAATAATGATACAAAACACATGGTACTACATATTCTTGCAGAGATACAGATAAACTGCTGAAGAAGTTAAGGTTCTGGAGAGATTGGCAAGGTTGGGTCCTGGACAGGATATTGGCGAACATGGCATTACAAGGGGAGGGGAGCTGAAGAACTGATAGGCTTTGATAGATTTATTTTTGAACAAAGATATGTTGGTAGAAAACCAACAAAAATAATAATTAGTTTGCTTGAAGGTAGACTATGTAATAAACAATAATACTAATGACAGCAACAATGAGTGATATTTAATGGAGCACCAAATATATACCAGACCCAGGTCTAAGTCTTCATATATATTCACTCAGTTAATCATTTCAATAGTCTTTGGTCAAAGGTGAAGCTCAAAGAAATTCAGTAATTTGCTTAGGACCACACTAGTAAATGGCAGAGCCAGGGTTCTCTCTCTAGGGTTCACTCATTGAAGGAGCAGATAAGGGCTAGATTTCAGAAGGTCATGAATACCAGGCTAATGTGCCTGAGTATTTACTCTGAAGGCAAAGGTACAACTGAAAATTTCAAAGCAGGAATTGCATGATAATATTGATAATTAAATCATAAATGGTATAGCATGGGGACCTGGGAGAAATGAAGAAATGGAGCTGGTCTTCAGTGATGCAGAGGCTATGGCCAATCAAAGAGAAATAAAGAATGTTCCAGGCAAGGACAGGCTCACTGGGGGTGTAGAAGTAGGAATGAATATGGTGTGGAACAAGATAATGAGATTTTTCTGACTGGTACAGGTTTATGGTGTGGAACAAGATAGTGAGATTTTTCTGACCGGTACAGGTTTCATAGTGCGAGTGGAGATGGGACAAGCGTTATGGTGAGGGATCCTAAAGTCAGACCAGGGAGTGCGGTTCAATTTAGTAGGAAGGGAAGAAACATCGGTGCTTTGAAGACACAGTAGGAATGAATTAAGTGTTGCCTCTTCATGTCTTTCGCTGTCCTCAGTCTTACTCTAGTCATGGGCCCAACATTCCTGGACTTTCAAAGCCTGGGGCGATTTTTAAAGGCTCCTTGTTGTTCTTTCAAAAGAGTTCCTCTTCTCTACAAGCAATAAAATAGTTGAAGTCAGGTTGTTATTTTCTTTTTTCTATGAGCCATTACAAAGGTGTGAAATAGTAGACACTTACGCATCTGTGAATAAGATTGTGGGCTAAAACGTGTGAGTTCCCATCTCAGCTAATGAACCAGAATATGGTTTTAATTTCTGAACTGCTAAAATGTTCTGCCTTTTTTGGTCATTCCTACAGAAGACTTCATATTTTAATAATTCAGTGTAGCCTAATTACTTTAATTAATCACCTTCTTTTCAGAGATGTCAGTGGGCTTTGTTATTTTTGTGTTACTGTAGGTACTATTGGGAGTTTTAAGGAATTTTAAAAATATATATGTAATAACCCAGGTTAACTCTTTAATAGGGTCTGAAATGTGTATCCTATTCCTCAGAGTGATTTGTCCTTTGCAGATGCCTACTAGTCATGCCCATAAACTCCTGCCACTTCCATCACATTCCCTCCCTAAGGCCAGTTAACCAAACCATCTCGGACCATTCTGTGCCTAAAACATTGCTGTCTGGAGACAAAAGTAAAATGCTATTTAGAGCAAGTCAATATTTTTGGATCTTTCTGAGTCACGATGAATATACTGGGAATGACAATAGCTTTTATTGTACAATTAATATAATTTGCTTCCTTTGCAGGAAAACATAACTAGCTTATAGTTCATGTGGTAGCAATGAAGACGTACTCATTTTTAAAGTCTGTTGGTGGGTGGAGGGTCTTTTCCTGATCTGAATCGGGTGTCCCTTTCTGGTTCCTGACCCAGGCTGATTGAGTGTCACTAAGCAAATCTCTTAACTTGTGAATCCTTTGTTAATTCTTTCCACCAAGGACTGACAGTGCCTTTATACAGATTTAGTAACACTCAAGCTGACTATTTGGAGGCTGGATGTTAGCACCAGGCTTTGACTATAACCCGAGTGGCTTAAATGACAGTCGTCTTATTGGTTGTTCAACTGGCCTCATAGTCCTTTCTATTTTATTTTTAACCACGGAAAGGGGAGCTCAGAGCTTGTAATTTTCACCCATTTTACTCAGTGAATGTAAAAGCATCTCCAACTGATTAATACATTGAAATATAGGGAGAGAGATACCAAGCCACTTTCCCCCTTCTTTTTCTGGGACCCTTTTGTCCCTCCCTAGCTGTGCGGTTCGCCATTCCCCAGTGCAGGCTGGCTGCTTGCAACACCGTTCCTATGCATTTCACACTCCCTGGCACCAGTCTCTGGAGCCTCTGCCTAGTTGGGCAGGGCAGCTCCGCAAATGGTTGGAGGTTTTTTGAGAACTGAGAACAAAGTGCAGGGAGTTCCTAGGTTCCTGGTGAAAGGCTACAAAGAGACTTCCGGTTTGGGCCTCAGCTTGCGCACTTTTATTTTGAAATCCTGTCTGAAGTCAGATTTATTCAACCTGGACTTTGGCTTTGAACTGAGACACACATGTTACCTGTCACCTGAAGGGTGCAATTAGGGACTGTACTTGGAGCTATGTTTTCTGTCAGTGCCGATGAGTCGATGTGAGCAGAGACTTGCTGGGTGGGAAAGAAAGAGAAAGGCCCACTTAAACCCTCTTTTTGCTTCCTCTCTTTCCATTTTCTGCCCATGCCCCACCCTTCATCCTTCCAAATCTTCCATAATGTGGGGAAATCACAGAATTAGGCAGAAAGAAATCAATTATCAGATCAATTCTTGCCATGGATCTAAAAAAAGGCTTGTGGTTGAAAAATCCTCCTGGTCCTTTTGAGTCTCCTAAAATTTTTGTATTGCAATCAGAGATGTTAATTGGTTGAAACTGCCTGTGGTTTTAGGAAGTGCTCTGATTACAAGGAGAAATCCTTTTATGTTGCTGGACTCTAGCCACAAAGTCTCTGAAGTTAACAATCTGGCAGAGGTTGAACCCCCTCCGGGGTGTATAAACTAGCCAGCTCTATAACCCAATAGAAGTCAATTTATTGTGTGTGTTTCAAATCATTCAGCCCAAGCCCTGCCCATTTATTCAAGAAAAGGTGTGGGATACAGCCTGCTCTCTGACAATAGAATACACAACTGCAATGACTGTGGGGTCCACACAGTCAGTGGAAGGAAAGAGGCGACCAGGCAGCTTCAATATTTTTCTTCTTTCCTGGGTTTGCAAGGAATTGTCTAGAATTAAGCAGCTAAGCATGCCTGGCACCCAGAACTGCTTACTCTACTAACCGGGAGGCTAAGGCTCAAAGAGCTGAAGTGGGTGAAAGTTGTAGAGCTCTGGTCTTGAAATCCCTGTGACATTTTCTGCTGCACTGTGCTTCCATGTGGATGTTATCAGAATGGGAGGGTTTGGTGGGTCAGATCTCTGTGCAGCGCACTGAGGTGCCCAGCACAGTGTGGTGGTAGGAAGCTGCTCCAAAGCCTTGGGCAGGGAGTCCCTGTTTACCCACTCACAAAGCAGTTTCACTTGCATTGCAGAAGATTGTTTGGGGTCCTGATCAAGACCAGAAGAAGAATCCCAGCACCCCTCCACCTGCATCTTACCCCCTCCTCTCCAGCTTTAGCATAATTGCATTCTCCAAATGGTGTGTGGCAGCAGGATAAGCTGAAAGGTACTCAGCCTCCTTTGCAAACTGCTCCAGACTGCAGGTGAAAGTGAGTTATTACTGTAACCCAGGACAGTCTGTACAAAGACACTTGTTTATTGCTTATTCTTTAGAATTGGTTCATTGGGCACAACTGCCCACCTACACCAAAAAGATAGACTAAAAAGACCCCTGAACTTTACGATACCCCATTTTACTTTAACATAGCAAACGCAGTAATAGTTTGACCAGTCTTTTTTTGTGTGTGTGGCTTCCCCCTCCTCTATCCCCTTCATTCCTATTGGTTCCTGCTAAGTCTCAGAGAACCAATGAGATTCCTCTTCTTCATTCATGTCCTAGCAACAAGCTTGTTCCAATCTTTCTCTGCCAAACTAACACCTGAAAAATTACATCATGAATAATGGCAAAGGCAGCAAGGGCCAGAGAAGGGCTTTTTTTCTTTCTTTCTTTTTTTCCCCCCCTTCATCTGTCTGCTGCAGAGTTCATTTAAGGTGTTTTAGTCTAGATTCTTAAAGTGACAATGCCCTAAATCTTTGTTGATTTTTAAAGGCATATTAGTTAACATATAAAATATAAAGTGAACACTAATTGAAAGGAATAAAAGCCCTTTAGGTAAAATGAGGGGAAAACATTTTTCTCATGTTGTTCTAGAAATGCCTCAGGCTTTCAGAAAGCCTTCATTCAGAAAAACCCCCAAAGTGAAGAAATGGATTGGTCATATATTATTTGGGAAAGGACTGAAACGTCCCAAACCACTCAAGCCGCCCACCCACTGTCCCATACAAAAATGCAGCCCTTCCTGGTGGTTTCTCTTGCTGCAGTTAATGATCCCCAAGGCTCTTTCTATTACTACTTTGGAATAAAGGGCCCATTCTTTACGGAGGTCCTGGAGCCAGTGAGGGAATTGCCCTGAGAATCTGCCGAAGGTGTGGGGTTGTCGGGGTAAAGGGCCACTGGGGAGGGGGCGCCGGAGCACGTGTGTGTCTGCACACGTGAGGGCCTGCGAATGCACACAGGCAGCTGGGGGAACGCTGAGCAACGAGATCCAGATGACCAGGGAGGGAGGGGGCTGGTAGCGAAACCCGGACTGCCGGGAGAGCTGAGAGGGAGTGGGCGCTGGGGACAGGGCAAGGCGTCCCCATCCCCCCCGCAGACTTGCTCTTTCCAAATGGGCAGGGGTTCCTAATGAAAATGTCCATCCTTCTAGGCGTTTTCCGAGAACCAGACGCTGATTTGCCGCTTCCGGCTTTCCCCACCCCACCCAGTCTAGGGCAGACAGGGAGCAGAGACTCAGACACAAAGAACCGCAGCCTTGCGCAGGCACCAGCGAAGGGCGGGGCTGGCACCTGCCGGGGGCGCCCGACTGGACGGTGCGCAGCCCGCCAGCCCGGCCGCGACCCCGACCCCTCCGTCCTAGGCACTGGGCCACACACTCTGGCATCCTGCTCAACTTGCAAGCATGTGTGCAGTACCAGTAGCTGCAGCTGGAAAGAGACCCCTGGGGCCATCGGGGCCGGTTCAGGCGTGGAGGCTTGCTGGAGAATCAGAAAATAGATCTTTTGGGTGTGTGGCTCCGCTGCGGAGTTTGCAGCTCTCCTCAGCCATCGCTTTGGCAGCAGGGGTGGTCAGAGATGCTGGCAGACAGTCTGCCTGTTACTTGTGAAACCTCATGAGGCCCCAGGAAGGAAAGGGAAGGGTGGCAGCCTAAGGGTTTGGGAGGTGGAGAAAGGAGGACAGTGTAGGGTAGGCCACCTTAGGGGAGCTGGAGATGTGTCCTCGCCAGCCCCAGTCACACAAGTTGCAGGAATAACTCCTAAGGCCCCAGTTCTGCCACCGACCGTGTGCCGTATAAGAAACAGTAAAGGACGAGTGTGGGAGGGGCGCTGCATCCAATGCCCTCGGGAGCAGAGACGTTCCCCGCAGACACACCTGCCACCTGCCACACAGCCAGCTGTCCGAAGGGTGGGCACAACACACCAGAAACTCAAAGTCTCAAATATCTTTGGTGAACATCACATCCCATGGTGCAGAAAATTTGAGTCACCTAGCCTGAGGGGCAGTTTTGGAGAAATAAATGACCAGGTGGGATAGACCAGTGAAAAGTCACCATAGGGAAGGAGCACTGGAAAAGGAGTCCATCTGGCTTGTGAAGGGAGACCTAGAGGAGTGTGACCCACTCTTCTTGCACCCAATGTGAGTGTTGAGGAGATGGCATGAGATGATTCTCATAATGTGTACAGGATAGCGTCTGGTGTGCGTGGTAAATACCCAATTGCATTAGGCTTCATCACTGCTGCCCGTCCACTGGTCTTGTGCGTGGACCCAGAACCTTGAGGCAAGGTTGCCATTCCCAACTACATCCTCTTTGAAATGCTCTCTTCCCTTCCTTGGCTTTTGTGGAATAACATCTTTCTCTGTTCCTCTCACTTCCTGAATCCTTCTTTCCATTGTTCTTTGTGAAAACTCCGTTTTCTGGCCGGGCCTTAAATGT